GGCTAACTATTATTACAGCACCATGCAGCATTGGATCCGCAGGTTTTCAGAAGCCCGTGTAAAAGCAGATCCTGGTATCAAAGCACCTATTCCCAGAACATTTTACAGTTCATCTTCACAGGTCCTCAAGCAGTGTGAAGTTTACTTTGACAAACTCTGGGAAGAATATTCTACTGTTGAAAAAGAAGAATACCAGGGATCACAGCTTGGAGATACATGTTTGTCTACCATTGTTGAATGGGGTCATTCAATGAGTGATAAGGAATATGAAAATTCCACAGTGAGCACGAAGGAGTTCATCTGTAATCTTTCAGAGAACTTTGCTATGATTGACACGGAGGTTATGTGCTCAAGGCCCTCTGACGAGGACAGTCATGGTCCAAGTTTATTTCACTCAGACCAGCTTCCTATTCATCTGGAGACAGAAGACAGTATCGCATGGGAGCAACTCTTCATGAGGAGAAATTGCGGAGGAAGGAGAGACAGAAAGAGAATAAAAGGAAAGGAAGGCCGCCAACTTCTGATCAAGCAGCTCCATCGACTGCAGCGGCATGAAACTCAGAGCGGAGGCTAACTTTTAATGATAGCTAGGAAGTGAAGACACTTCTGATCACAGTTGATACTTTGCTTCCAGGCTTGACTTTAAGTTGCCAGGCTGAAGTTTTAATGGATTCTGGTTTGCAACAAGGAGAAACTTTTTGTCAAAGAAGATACTCCTGCATTCCAGGTTTATACGCTTTAGCATGCAGATAAATACAGTTTACTAAACGGTCATTATCTGCAGGTAGGTATGGACAGTTTTTCAGAACTGATGATAACTACCACAGCCGCTATTTTGAGGTGACCTCTAATGGACAACCATTCATGGTTGATGATTAAGTCATTTCATAAGTTTGCATTTGTAGTGCAAGTTTTGTACATACATTTGCCGGTGTCTCCTTCCTTTTGTTTTTGGTGTCAATGAGAAAGAGTCCTTTTGATGCAGTTCCATTTTTATTTAAGTCCTGTGTATGGAAGCGGCCGAGACCACTTTTCGAGAAGAACATTCCTCGGACCGAGAGTTGACGCTCCTTGCATTTTGCAAGGCGTCTCAATTCATTGCAATTTGTGCGGTCTTGAATTTTTAGTTCTTCGTTACGCGAGTGTCGTTTACTGCTTTTACAGGTCTCTGTGTAAGAAAGCCGCTTTCCCTTGAATTTATAGTTTCTTTGAAGCTCTGGCTATTTAAGGGCTATTGAGCGCCGGTACATGGTATCTTCGCCGGTGAACGATACAGTCTCCAGCCGAGATACATTGTCTTTGACCTTGTATTTGAGGTGAGTCAGCTATTGCTCCCTCACTGTATTTAGTATACCTAGAGATTACCTTTTCTAAAGTGTGAAATACACTGGAATTGGTAAGTACAGGGCACCGTGGTTTCCTTTTAAGCTTACTAGAGCTTGCTGGACTGTTTCAGCCTTACGGTAGAAAAATAGTGTGCGACATACGCAATAGGCAGGAGTGGACGTGAATTTTGTGCCTGCTGAAATGTAGAGGCCTACTTGTACAGGTTCCACTCCAGTGGCCTATCTAGTGTGTCCATGCTTGACTGCCATAAGGCTCAAGACGCTAAGAGGATAAGACTCTGCGCATAAAAGACACTAGCGGTCTGCACCTCAACCGTGTACGCCCTAGTCACTCTTTCACCCCTCCCCCCCTCTAAAATCAATTCTCTCCTGGAGAACGTCTTCGTGAGCCTCTCATGATTTCAGGATAGTTGAAGCCCTCTTGAACATTCAGAAAGAGTCAATATGAAATTCTAATCACGAAAGGTGTTCCCCGAGGGGATACATACCTAGAGTTTGTTTTGTGAAGCACGTCAATTCTCTCCTGGGGAGCGTCTTCGTGAGCCTCTTATGGTTTCAGGATAATTCAAATCCTATGATGTTCCGATTCAATGCTCACCGATGATCTGAGCCATGGGGCAAATTTGTTTTCCTAAGTTTCTTTTTGAACATTTCGAGAGCATGAGTTTGAACATTTAGAGTGCATATGAACATATATTTACGAAAGGTCGCCTCCGAGGGGATAAATCACCATGTCGAACATTGCATTTTTGTTCCTGCCTCTCGCGTTCTCTTCTCTTCCCGCTGTCCTACCTTTCGTGTCTCCCTCCTCTCAAGTATATATACATATAGCCCAGACGCTCCATGTATGGTATATATGCCTACATTGGGTGGTTTGAGGGGTCAATGTCGGCATATATGGCATACATGGGGCGTTTGGGTGGTATAACATATATATATATATCAAATTGTTTAAACGATCTTGTGATTTATTGTGTTTCCTTTTCCTGGGCTTTGCTTGCACAGCTTAGAAGCAGTCCCCCGCGGTTCTCGGCCCACAATGGAACAAGACGATACACGACGATACATGTGGCGTCGAGTGCATGAGCGCACAGGAAGCGAATGTTTTAGGACCTTAGGATAAGCAAGTAAAACAATTAATACGCATGCAACACGTGGCCACAGACATCGAGTGACTGTTCAACAAGCAGGAGTGGTACTAAAGATGTGCCGCCATGCTGAGCAACGCTCTCGGCGGCGTCGAAGCATGACCGGATCCTTACTCCTCAGTTTGCTTTCGTAACTGGAGTCGACCCGTTCGTACCCCAGAAAATGGGTACAAGTACCTGTTTGTATAGGGTCATGTCCCATTTTCTAGGGTACTTTCGAGGGTCCAGGTAGACATTTAGTTATACCTTTCTCATAGTGCCACTCCGGCAACCCCATAAGTTTGCGTAGACTTGCAGGAGTAGAGCATGTCGACCTGTTACTTCCAAGTTGCGACATCGAGGCAGGACAGCTCAGCAGCCCTTAGCTGTAGGCACTGCTTTTCGGTGGCGAAAACACGTGTGGTGTTTCCGCACCATGGCATGCTCTGGACGGCTGGCAGAGGCATGGTGGTGGGCGTAGTTTGACATAGTCCAGGGTTTCCAGAAATCCTCCTTTCCATTTCTTACGCATCTCATGAAGGGGGCTCCTGGCATCGCTACGAACGGAACGATCGGACGCTACCAGTTACTAGTAGGACATCGCTACAAACGGAGCCATGTTCGCTATCTCAAGAAACTCAGAGTCGCATCGATGCGTGCTCGCAGCCTTTCGATGTCCGCCGACCTTGGGCGGGTGCCAGAAGAGCCTAAGCCGGTTGGTGGAAGGTGGCATGAATCAACATATTCCAATGTGGTATTCATTGATATCTCATCAATAGCTACTCTGAATAGCTTGGAGTTACTGTAGGGTCTGGGTCAGGTGTATTGATTGGGCATAGCCCATTGCCAGGTGCAGTCTTGCCAAGCAGGTTGGGCTTGATATGCTCTTGACATCTCTATAATATAGATTGGATTCGGTTTGTCCCATTACCATGATCACTATTACTTTAGAGAAAAGCCTTTACAAACCGGCCCCACTGCTACTGGTCATGGGATAGACCCTCCGCATAGAACTGGATAGGCCGTTGCTGCGGGACGTTGTTACCTGGTCCGAAAACGTTCCAAAGACTAACCCAGTGCATCCCAGTTACCACTATAAGGAACCAGGGATTCCTTCGGTCGGTTTCAGTCGAACTGGAACCAACTGGGACTCCCGTGGTACTTGTATGCCGGTAAAGCTTTGAGTTCTCGCTGCGTCCGTACGGACCGCAGGTTCTCAGGTCCGTGGACACCTGCAGAAACCGAATAGCACAGAATCAACCAGCAACAAAGCGCTCCCACAGGTTGCTGACGCGCAGCCCTGAACAGAAAACACTTCCAGGTACAGCAAAGCAACAGCAACTTCACAAGAAACATCGATTGGCTGCGACCCAGAGAACGTGCGCAAACGTTTCAAGATGTTTCAAGGATACCAAGCTTAAGGAATGAAGACACAGCGTTGTTCTTCACTTCCCACAACGCGGTGTTCATCATCCACGTGATTAAAATACTCTTGTTTAAGCATTTTTAATTTTTAAGCCACATTCCTTTAGCCACAGCGGTGCATCCAGAATCGATCCACTCGGAGACATGCGTTCCATCCAACCTTTGATCCTGATAGACATCCAAGGCACTCCATCCAACAAAACTTGGTTTGCTCAGGATGTTTCTTTTTCTTTGATCCTGTGGTTTCATCCCTTTTGGAAGCTTCGGAACATGTGATCCCAGATTCCAAAAAAGCCAAGCCGACCATCCAAACATGTTCATCGACGAAAGTACCGTCTCCGATTCCTCGGCCAGCGGGGCCACTGGTGCCACGGCGGCGCCACGCCATGCCGTGGAACTTCTTTGGGCTTTTTCAGAGAACGCGGCAGACGAGAGTCCCCGAGAGGAGTAGCAAGAGGTGGGTGAAGCGGCCGGGTGGAACCCGGGTGGGTTTCGGCGGGTGGAACCCGCTGTAGTTCACCTGGTTTGGACCGAGAACCGTTAACGTTGGAAAGAGGGGAACTGCCCCTCCTCCAACTCATTAATTTCAGGCCCAACATGTTTCCCTTTCAATTTCCCTAACTCGTGGCAGAGGCTCATACTTCCAAGACTTTCCAACACTTTGGACTCTCTCATGTGTTTGACTTTGCTCGTGGTTTCCTGGCTCTGTTTTCATCCAGTAGGTCAAGGGGCTTAAACCCCGTTCTATATATATAACTTAATCCTTTCGCTCACTGTGTCCCTCACTCCCCTCCGGCGGTGCCAGGAAAAGTGTGGGAAATGAACAACAAGCGATTCTAGTCGCACGACAACACTATAACCAGGCGCGCGCAAGCGGAGGAATGAAGCCGAGCATTCCTATATGCGTGGTTCCTTCTTGCTAAAGGGTTTTATGCCTCTGCAGTTTTTGAGGCTTGCCGTTCACATGTTTCAGACAACGATCGAGAACAACGTTATACATTTGCCTCAGATCTCTACTGGCATCTCACTTAGAATATGTATATCTAGGATTTCCATTATGTGGACTTCCCATGAATTTCCCCATGCTGTTCTCTTGATGCCGATGGATATCCCATTGGGTGAATCAGCACCCCCCCCCAAGATTGGCCTCCCGAAAGCCGGGGTTGGAAGACTTTTTCCGTACTCCTTACGGACTCGAACCACCTATTGATTCAATAGCCTAGCTGGGGTTTGTTCTATTACCTGCAACAGTCAGTAAACCATTTATCACTAATTATTTTTGAACAAGGCCTTTGCTTATACTAACCATCATCATCCACTATTACTGGTATTAGGATAGACCCAAGAAGCCAAACCATTACTGAACCATTGTTTAATTTCTACGTCTGTTTCAGGCCAAGCTACTGGTGTGCGAGAATGGCGGTGTTCGAGCGAATAGATGCCGCCTACTGTGATGAATAGTCGGCCCATGTCGATATCAGTGACTCGGTGTCCCTCCACATCTCAATAACATACCTGGACCATGCTGTCTGGGTTTCCAATGGACTTTTGGGGATCTCCATTGGACACCCAGACAGCATGGTCCTAGTATAATTCAATCTCCAGAGCACACATGTGGAACGGATTTGTGGAATTTGCACGCCCATATCCTTCGAACCTTCCTTTTCGGATATTTCATGCTATTTCCAGTCTATATTTCAAAAAAATATCCATTTAGACCACTGGAAGCACCATGGTTTGCTTGTTACATATCGCCATTCTTGTACGATAGATCCGATTCCTTTGCCTTGCAACGCTGACCGACCCTCCTCTCCGTGCATACCTTCTGTTTCGAGGCCGAGCAGCAGCAGGTCGGGCCACCGGACCGGACGCCCCTCGGGAGGAACGGACCGCTGAGGACCGGACCGGACCGGTCAACGGAGAGCCTGGAAGACCTTCGGAAGTCCTCGGAGCGCGAAAGGGGTGTTGGAATGGTCGTTCCAGGTCCAGTGGTCCATGGTCTTCCAGTCCGAGATCGGTGTGCTGGTAGGCCGGTGTACCAGCTGATCTCAGCTTCCATGATTTGAGGGAAGGAGATAGTGATGGAAACTATGGAAACGGGCGGAGGCCAGATTTAAAGTGCTGCACCATGTCGACATGACGTGCAGGTTTTATGTTATCCCGGATAACTGTATAAGAGAGAAAACATGTATAGAGAGAGAGAGGGGGATGAACATAGAAAAAGGAACCGGTTGAATCAACGAGAATGGGTGCTCTACACACTGGCGACATCCACCGGAGAACCGTCAGATTTCCCTCAGACATCTGACAACGGACGGCTTCGAGAACACCATGGCCAGCACATCAGAACCTGTCGGGACTGTCCCCGAATCACCTATAGCCAACATACCTGGATCTTCCAACTATGCCAAATTTCTGCCTTTTGGCTGACTTTTTGGATGAAAAGGCAGAAATTGGTAACAGTTGGAAGATCCAGGTATAAGTCAACCCACTCAGCTCCGGCAAAGCTGGCCGGATCAACGCTCGCGGTAGTTCCCGAACGCGGAGCGGTGTCGATGGGTTCCCCAACCTCAAAGAAACTCCACAGTTTTACAATCCAAAATGGGCAGGTGTTATCAATCAACAGTTTGCATACGTTTTGCATCGTGCAGCAACCCGTGCGATTCAACTGACAACAAATCATGCAGCTAAGTCACACGAATGTCTCACGCGTGAGATTTTTACGTGACGTTTAGGAGAGTGGTGCAGGGTGTGACCAACAACACGTCACGTCCCAGAAAAGAGAGACCGCAGACCGAAGAATTGGCTGAACATCGACACATCCCTTAAACAGTTTGTTATATATTAGCAGTTTGCCCTTCTCACGGTGCATTGGAAGAGCTTGGCAGCTCGAACATGCGAGCTAGCTGCCTTTTACTTCTTTTGGGGGTTGACGATGGATGCTGTATTCATTGACATACCTCACATTACCTCACTAATGGTGCCGCTCCTCATGAGATAGATTCTAGGTTTCATGTTGAGGATGCTTCGCTGTCCAAACTTCCAAGTTGACCTTTTAAGCTTTGACAACTAGAGAGATCTAATACAGATCAAATGTAGGAAACAGAGGTGTTGGTGCGGCGCCCCAACAAGAACCAGGCACTTCCGCCAGCGCTGGCCACCTGGCTGCTGAGTGGTCTCTCAAATTGCGGCGGCTGAGGCGCTTAGTGACGCAACACACCTTTCTGAGGGCCTTCTTGGAACGCCACGGCGCCTCGGACGAGAGGTTGATGGTTGAGGCACCGGAAGATCCTGAGACGAAGAGAGGCATGGTGTAGAGTTGTGGAGGGATATATATATATATATACATACATCACTGTGCCTGACTTACAGTGTATACATCTCGCATTGTACAATTGCGTTTATGCAGACCCAGTTTGTTTGGTGCTTACATACCCTGCAGTTTGTTGCTTTGTCCGTGGCGTTTGGGGCAGAGGACCCCCAATCCAGCAGTGGAACGGTGGCAAATGCTTGACCTCACGGGGGGTGGGTCACAGGTCTATCATGGTCTATCAGCTTCAGATTGAGAACGGGCATACGATCAATAACCCTGAATTACATTATATGGAAATTAAACTACTTCTTGAATTTATTGTATAGTTTTTGCGCTTGCGATGGTGTTTTTGGTTTCTAGACCTGTTTGAGTTTGAATCGGTGAGTTCGCCGCAGCACCAGGTTCGGTCTTCCGACAGTGTCGTGTGTGTGTGTGTGTATTCTTGCTCTGCCACAGCCTGGGTTCATCGCAATGAATGGCTGGAGGCAGTGTTCCAGGCACAGAACGCCCAACGAAGAAAAGTTCGCCAAAGGTAGATAGTTGCCTATCTGTAGACTCTCTAATTCCCAGACGCTTCTTGGGACTGCCATATTTGCCTATCAGTTGGGGTGGTTTCCGGGTCATTGGAGGCACATCGTCCATACATGGAGTGTCTTGGATTGTGCAAGGACGCGACTCAGCCTATCGGAGTCCCCTTTTCGGTTCCCTTGAGACATCCACCTATACCCTATGCAATGTGTTTTTTCCCCCATGCTTGGACATGTATCCAGCACCGAACCCAACAGGTCTCCGACATGGAGGGTTGGGAAAGGCCCTAACAGGTTTCAATTGGTGACCTGGCAGTGAGGTGCTGGTACGTGTTTCTTGTCCGTCCCGACCTGTTCTTCAGCCTATCGGCTAGTTGTGCTGCTCGAGGCTTCACAAGTGTCAGCAGTGAACGAAGCCTGGGAAGTGAGCGTGCAAATGTCCAGCGTTCGCTGGTCACCACGGATGCTCGGTTGACCGGGGAGAGAGGATGTCGAGGCTGGTCACCACCGGATAGTCCAGGGAAGCTGGGAGGAAGCTGGGTTCGGAGGAAGACGGGATGGAGAATCGCCTATAGACTTGGATGGTTCTATGTGGGTTCTTGCTTTAGGTGCAAGATGCTGCACACCGGACGAGGGAAATGTAAGGCCTGGAACTCAGAAGTTCAAGACTAGTATGGCCAACCAAAGTACATGTGGAAGGATGTGTATGATCTGATCTGAGGATGTTTGATGGTCTTGTATGATCGGAGGATGTTCAAGATACTTCCAGATCTCAGTGCAACCAAAGTACATGCTTACTCCCAAACTGGGGAGATGTTTAAGGGTTCAATGGTGCAACGTCTTGCAGTGCAGATCCTTCCTATCTTAGGTAAAGTGAAGGATCTAATTAGAATTCTGATCATTTTGAGGGTGCTATATCATCTATATAGTAAAGGGCAATCATTGTGTTATGTCCCAGTGCTATGTTGTCTTTGGAGCCAGCTGGGTCGGCCTGCAGTTTTGTTTGACTTTTTAGGGTCCCCGCAGTGAACACCTGGAGTTCTGGTGGTGTAACGAATTCCCGTGGAGTGGCCGACGAAGACACAGTGGAACCAAAAGGAGGTGGGAAATAGACCCCTGGAAGACTCCCAAAGAAAGGCTCTAGAAAGAAAGGCTGGTCCACTTCCGATGTCTCCGAGTCCGGAGAGAGTACATGGAATCCTGGACTGGCCGTTTGGCTGGCCTGTGAGCCGGTTTGGACTGGTGCGTCAGGACGGCTACTACCCGCTTCATGTGGCCGCACAGTACGGTGACCACGAGATTCTGGGCCTCCTGCAGCTGGGACGTCCACTGCGAAACTGCTTGGGTTCATGCAGACTCTCATGCAGGTTCATGCCTGCAGGCAGTGAGATCTCCAGAACCTTTTGAAGACATCTCAGGGATTGGTTGCTGGTTGTTTCCAGTCGTTGAGATTCACACAGGTCACACAGGTCACACATGTCACGACATATGCAGCTTCTTCGCATCCAACAATCTGTGAGGGCCAGGCTTGAGATCACCACGAAGTTGTCACACATGAAGCGCACCCTGTAGTGGTGCATATGGGATGGGCATGGGATGGGCATGGGATCGGCGAAAAAGGGCTGTTCAACCATCTCTTGGTTTCCAAGGGGGTGTTGTCGCGGGGGTTAAATTCTTGCCCGCCATTTTCAGAGATCCATTCACCCATCCCACCGAAGCCCTTAACAAGATCTCCAGGGGCCGAGAACCAATAAGCAGAGATCACTGCATCAGCTGCAGGGCTGTTTCACCTTCCACCTTCTTCAAGAAAAGCAGATCGAACTGCTCGTTTCACATCCTCAAGATGCAGGATCTGGAACATGATCCTTGAGAAGATTCTATATAGGGATGTTTAGTGTATTTCCGGATGAAGCGACTTATATAATATATATATAGGTAGAAAAGGAAAGTGGCTTTGTGGCAGCTGGGTCAGCTAGCGGACCACACACGGCCCCATCCGCCCAAATCAGCCAGCTCAGGCTAGAGAGCCGGGTCGATGTGGAGCATCTCGGCCATCCAGTCGAGTAGAGCTGAGCTGGTTTGAGATCGCTGGTTTCCGAGACCCTCCGGACATGAAGAGTCATGCCACCATGGATGGGTCATCAGCGGGGTAAATGGATGTAACATTGTAACATGATGTAACTTTGAAACAGTGCCATGGATGGTTTGGGATTGGAAGAGCCCATCCCCCTGGCATGTCTTAACTAGATGTGGCTCCATGCTCAAGGGGTTTATGTCCAGGCTTTTGGGATGCCCCAACTTGCTAGTCTTGATTGGTGGTGCCACACTGATTATATAGTCAATCCCCTTGATTCATGTGAAATAGTATGTTTAACACCGCATTTAGCTGTGGGTCAAGCCTGTGGCCAAGTCGTGCACATCCCTTGTCACGCTGGTCTTCTCAGAATTGTGATTCTTCTCGCACTCTTGGCTGGTGTTTCTGACGAGGTTCATCGCATTCGCTGCAGTCCCCAAGGAAAAAGTAATCCAACGTTCTAATGAACTAAGATGATAACGTTCATATCAGATGCTGTTGGAGTTTGATCTTTGCGTATCTTTGCTATTTCTCAAGACTTGAGGCATGTATATAGTACCGTCTATGCACTATCTCCCCTGGCATGATACACTCCCAGTTCCGTCGGGCCATTAACGAAGGATTCCATGAAGAGCAGATGCTCCTCCCACGCTCTCGCCGCTTCGGGCGGAGGAACCGTAAACGTCCCATTCGCCTGCTTTGGGCCATGTTCAGACTAATCCTACACCCAGGAAGTACGTGGCTCACTTGCGTGGCTCCTTTTTGCGGGAGGACGTTGGGAGAAACCCACTCACACAAGAGGTGGGCTTCAGCCCTCCGCTTCACCGAACTCTTGGCTCCCGACATGATCGGAGTTGGAGAACCGGTCGAACGGCTGAGGCAACTCTCTCCCAAAGGCTTGACGGCCATTGAGGTCGCCGAAGCGGAGAACCGACGCCCGGCGAGAGATGCGGGGGTTTTCTTCGGCCGGCCACGGTCAGATGGCGTAGCCATGTCATGTGGTGTCATGTTATCTGAAAACCAGGGAAACAATGCAGGCTCAAGAAGATTCTAAGACTTCCCACCAATTTCTTGACAGAAGAGTTCTATCTTACTGGCGGGGACGTGGAGGCTCCAAACCGACTGGCCAAGAGGCCAATCCGCTGTCGCAGGATCGAAGTGCATCACCCACATCACCCAAACGTCCACATGATGTGGGAACAAACCTTGAGAATGGATCTAGCTTCAATCCACACAAGGTGAATGCCATCTACAGGGTTGTCCCACCTCTTGGCGCTTTTGGAAAGCACGCACATCAGTCCCAAATGCGCCACGCACGAGGAAATGGCTCCCATAGCTACGTGTTATTCCTGCTCCGGGATGCTGTCGCGCTGAAAAGGCCGTGGGGCGCTTCCCCGGAACCGCCGTGGGGCGGTGGAACCACGCCATCGGGCCGAAAGGCAACGAAACCGACCGGCAAGGCGAACGACCGACACCAGGTACGGCCGCTGGTCAAGGAAGGTTAATTTTCTCCACCACCCATTTCGGGTGGTTATTGGATGGGAAGTATAGATCGTCAGGGGGGGCGGTATAAACGACCCGTTTTGGGGGGGGTGGGTTTGTCCTGGTTTCGACCCGCCAAATGGATTCGATATGATTCGATGAACCAGGAGCGGACCCTTTCGTGGAAGAGGGCAATGGGCCGAGCCATGTGTCGAGCATGAGTCCACCTTCTGTGAAAGACACATCTAAATCATCTAAAGCCGGTGGAAGACACTGGAAGGAAGGTTGCGCGCTCATGGAAGAGCTGGGGGTAGCCCGTAGTCTTTGCACAGTTGGGATAGATGTGGGGTTTGAACATTCAGCTGGGTGTTAAGCGAGAAAGCTTGCCTGACTGTTCAATGAGTTGTGCTATGTTGTGTTATTACCATCATTTTGCTCAGCACGCACTAGTGCAATGCGTTGGGAAACTACGGAGCCAACCAGAAGGAATATAGGAATTGACGAATTAGCGTGTTTGCGAAACCTTTCTGTGAGCTGGGTGTGCAAGCAACTTGCAATGATATAGATCCCCCACAAGAAGACCCGATGAAAGTGTGCTCGGGCTGAACCAAGTCTCGCCCAAAAACTTTTGGGAACCACGCTTTCTATTGTTTTTGTATGTTGCTCAGCTTCGCGACCATGTGCCGAGTTCGTGTAGCTTTTTCCACAGGAGTTTGTGCTTTGCTTCACTTAGTGTGTTTTATTCTCGCAGAATCCATGACTTTCAGGCTGAAACAGCGATCGATCGGATCACTTCTGGGTTGATGAAAAAGGTGGACGATCACAATCTCAGACCTGTTCCTTTTGCGGCTCATTCGGTGGGCTTCGTAGTTTTCCCAGGTCAATCCCCTTCTGGGGAATATTTAATACTTAGTTCCAGGATGTTCCAGGTTCCTTAAGCAAATCCAAGGTGACAGCAAGCCGAGAAGCATGTGGTGGAAAGACTGGATTCAATGGGTGGGTTCGAACCCTATCTTGTTTTTGAGGGAGAAGCCGGTTTTTCAACAAAATCTTGATTCGAAATCTTGTCCTTCACCGACCGATTCTCGGCGAAATCGGAACCGAATTGGTGACGGTAGTTGTTGGTGAAGGAATTCGGGAGAGATACATGAAATCCAAGAACAGCAACCCTTAACCCTTCATTTTGTGCGGTAACTTTTCTTCGGCATGGGACAAATCCCTGCTCCATGGGACTGCCATAGTTGCCTAGAAAAGGCCAAAAGGCAGGGTGGGGCGAGTCAAAGCAATTGGCATACACCAGCACCACTCAGGTCGGGTTGGTGAATACAGACCCCCCTGAAGATATCCACTCTTTGGGTGGTGCTGGCATGGAGCGTTTTGGATACTTTCCCTCTCCTGGACTAACATGTTGCGGCCGGGAACAAAGTGGAGCCAGTCAGCCGCCGAAATCAACTGCGTTCCCACGCGGCCAGTCCAGGCGGTGATATATTCACCCCATATCCCTCCTGAACTGGTCAAACACATTTCAACATAGGAGCAAGAAGTAGCAAGGACTCAGGACGCTACTAGGTGCTCCTGGCCGTACTACTAGGAGCAAGAAGCTACGAACGGAGCAAAGGGCAAGGGAGTGATTGTCGTTCACTTTGGCGTTGCGTTTTGGCGTAGATACTTTGGAGCAACAATATCGCTGACCGCTGTTCTCACACTGAATCATGATGTCAGAATAATAGAATAAAACGCGCATGATTAGACCGGGCCAAGGGGCGTGTAGTAGAAGCATAAGAACTTCCGTTGTAGCTGGGTTATAGGACTAAACGAACCATGAAAAACACACACACTCTGACATTGGTTTTCAGTTAACTCAATTGCCACGATGGGAAGGAAGGTGAAGAACGGTAAGGTGAAGAGTCCGCAAAACTTGCAGATGTTTGAACAAACTGTTTTGAAGTCTGCAGAAATCACTAAATGCACGGTGCAGCTGCAGAAACGCGGTGGAAAAGGTTTGGGGGTAGTATCATGAAACACCATGGAAACAAAAAGCGAGAGTGGACAGCTTGTCAACAGTTGAAGAAAGCAGGTACATAGTTCTGGCGTCCCAGAACTATGTCACTGTGCGACAGATGCGTCTTCATTGGCTGGAGACATCTGAAGCACACTCCAGCCCCCTGCGTGTAAGCACCCTTCGGAACAGGGGTTGACACACACACACACACCAAAAAAAAAACAACGGTTCAGCAACAGCACACATCCCAAATCCATCAACCTGAATCAACCTGCACTTCACCTCTTCCACTTCCCAAGACCACGCACCATGTCTACTGCAACCGTCACCACGCACCCGCGGTGCGAGGCAAGAGGAGCGACAGCACAATCGCGCTATGAGCGGAGAGGTGCTAGTCTCACGTCTCTCGGCGCGGGGGGGCGTGTCTTGACGTGTCTTGGGAGTTCGTCTCTTCGTGTCTTGATCTACTCCGGACTGGGAGACTTGAGACCTCTCCGGGCTCCTGGTGGTTAGATGTTGGGGTGGATGGATTGGGGGGTTGGGACCACCCTCTGAGGATATGGGCCAGGAGCCCTAGGGATAGGAGCCAGCTTCAACCGTCCCAATGTCATAATGATATGGTATGCATAGGCCTGCATAGGTAGAAGATGGCAGAAGATGGCATGCCATACATGGAGTGTTTGGGGTAGACGGCACCATCCCCAACAAGGTGGCGAACATGACATGGAAGTTCGTGTCATCTACTCCTGAGACCCTTGTACGTAGGTCTCGACTCTAAAGGATAAACGGGGCATCAGGGATGTGGGGGATGTGGATGTGGATTAAGGTTTGAATGGGTTTCCGTTCGCTGGCGGAAAGCGGCAAGAATGTTGGCAGATGGCCCCCCAAAAAACGAAATCCCCATGCTGGACTCCAATGTTTGCCTTTGATTAGTCAATTGATAAAACAACTACGTCCTGGGAGATTAAGATAGAACCTGATGCAGGCCCGAAAACCACTTCAGTGGTCTTCTTTGTGGTGGAACCGGACGGGGGGAACTAGTGACATCAGGTTCCATGAGACTGTTCCCGGGGCATCTCACATCCTGGCCCTTCGGGACCCCCGAGGTCGAAGTTGCGATTGTACCGGCATTGGTTGCCACTCGGCCTCCAGCCGTGTTCGGCCCAACGGCGCTGGCGAGGGCGGAGGTTGTCAGAAACCCCTCCAACTCGCATGGACCACATGGCATGGACCATTGGAAGACGATGTTCCTTTGCGGACAGAGTGGTTTCCACTTCCATGTGATGTGTTCCAAAAGAGTGTACCTGGACCTTTGCTGGGATGGAGCCATGGTGTCGGACGGCTCGTGAGCCCACCCTTAGGGCTGAAAGAGGCATGTTGGTGGCAATGGTCATGTTTATTTTGGCTTTCTTGGAGGACATTCATAGGTCATAGGGGGGGGGTGCCCCCAGAAATCCGATGAATTTGGACTTTCCGTCAGATCTGGAGGCACAACTGGTTCCAAATGAGATTGGATGTGTCCCAGTACCTACAGTCAATAAAGGTTAAAACGGTTGAGAAAGGTCTTTACTCACCATCCATCATTCACTGTTGCAAGGAATGGGGTATACCCAAGACAGCGACTCCAAAGGGGTCACTTTGAAGGTTCTGGAAAAAGACCGGGACCGGTGTTTTATGATTTTGATGCGTTGCTTGCAGCTTTGTAGGGTGACAAGAGTGTCCCATAAGAGTGAGTGTCCAGAAAAGTTTCCACAAGAGTGTAACCATGTTTGGCCGTGTGTTTTCGACGGACCCTTTTGTCCTCGGTTCTTCCACCACGATCCAGGTGTTCATTCCACCCTGTACTTTCCATGAATCACTGAGGCAACAATTGCGAACAGCTCTTCCGCGCTTCTTTTTGACCCACCCGCATGGCGGGTCGGGACTCACAACTTCACAACTTTCGAGTGACCAGGCTGTGTGGTGGGAAAGACCCAGATTTCAACTGCAACAAAGGTCATGATATGGCAAGCCCCGAGCATTGCTGAACCATGTCCAAGGGGTTCTACCCTCCCTCAACCCCATCATGGAAGTGGACAACCCCCGTCAAAAAATATCAACAAATTATCATTCCTTACGTGGCCAATGCCATCCACGACCCCTGCAACACCCCCTATTCTTCGGGAGCGCTCTGTGTTCAACAACCGTATTATTCCCTGTGCACCGATCGATTTTTTGGAGTGCCTAATATATTCATATGGATCAGAAGTAGAGGTATGTGGATACAAACAAATGGACATATATGAACAGAATGTTACTGTTAAACAGCTTGTTCCTTCACCTCAGTACTGGAATGCTGAATTCATTTTCTATACGTACCTGCGCTCCGGTCATAGGAGCATAGAAACATCACTTGTGCATGTAAAAATATCCCAATCAGGGACCGATGTCCGTGCTAGCTTTCGGGAAGGTAACTCTCGGGAGATTCAATGGGGAGGATGGGTTTCTTCAGGTACCTGACAGCATACCCTGGTTGGAGAGAGAGCCTTCCCCTTGAGCGCCAGTTGGCCGGGAGATTGGTTTACATTGGTTTGTGGATGGCACAGGTCCCAAGATAACCTTTGGATTTGGATTCCATATAAACCACCCAACTTAGGGATTGCGCCACCAATTGACTTCTGTTTTACAGCTTTCCACATCGACCAGAGGGCTTTCACCCTCCGTGCACCTCACCAAGCGGTCACTCGCAACGACAATGTGCAGCACTCGCAGCGGTGGCTCCGGACTGGCCCAACCGAAGCGTATCCGGCCGTTTACAGCGGTCCGACGACCCAATGATGAACCAAGATTGGAATCACGCGATGCCCTGACTCAGGGTCAGACTCAGGGTCCATCAACCCAGGCGCAGGGGTTTAGGCTCAATCCGGATCTTCCACTGTTGTGCCGAAATGTGTGCTTTCATCTGGGTGTGGGTCGATGCACAGCCTTCAGACATGACAAACTAATTGGCTTCGCGGTGCAGTGTCCCACGGCCATGTTGGGCACCCGACGGGACTTGGTCCCTCACGGCGAAGGATTTGCGCTAAACAAATCGGAATGACAAGCTGGATGCATTGGCATCCTAGATGCTTGTTTCACAAATGCTCGGCCAAATCCAACAGTTTTGGGCAGGATGCAGGTGGCAAGGTTAAGAAAAGCTGCAACTTCGACTCCAAGAGATTCAGGGGCACCTTTTGGGCATGCGGTCGCATGACCAGATTTGACATGCAGCTTGATTTGACAGAGATGCACTAGGCCGCTCGGTGCACCAGGTAGGGTGGTAATTACATGGAGAGAGGGAGAGAGAGACTTGAAAACGATCGGTTTGTATATGGGCTTGTGCCAGTGCGTTGACTACTGGCACATCAGATAGAACCATGAAGCCCTGACTCAAGAGAGACTCAAGACAAATCTTAAGATATTTTTTGGTTTGGGAGCAAGTCAGGGTGAAGAGTGGAGGAGACATGAGGAGGCGCAAGCAGCTTGTAAAGGACACCATGGTTCTCCCAGGGTCCGGGGTTCCTTTGTCACAAAACATGTTGGATGGGCACACGATGGGGAGAGATCATGGAAGAATCTTGATAGGAATCTAGATGTCATGATGTCAACCCCTTCTATTTATGCATCCTGCAAGATGTGCCAAGTCTCCGCCACCATGTCCGGGCCCTGGTTTGGCAGAGCCTGTGGTGGGATGAGGAGCCGTGACATGTTGGTAAGGATGCCAAGCCTTGTCTGGAGCAGGAAAAATGTTGCCTAGCATTGCCTAGCACTTCCGCTACCGAACCAAGCAATCACCTAGCAGATATTGTTTTATTTGGCCGGGCCAACATGTCCTGTCTCGACCGCTATATGCAGGTTGGGGTTAAACATGGTTAAATGAAATAGATGGCGCACAGCAAACATGCTTTTTTTGTTATTGAAGATCGTGAAGGATCCCGTCCTGGATTTCAACATTTGTATACATTTGTCAACATAACCTTGGGAGAATTCCACCCACGAGGTCACAAAAGCTGGTGAAAAGCCTGGGTTTCAGGAACGTTTCAGAGCTAAACACATGGTAAGAACGACCACCTGGTGATTCACGGTATGGACTTAACGGATCTTCTTTGGACCACTTGTCCTGGTTTTCCTCTGGAGCCCTCATGTCATCGGACTCGGTGTCCCACTCCACGTCGACCCGGCGAAGCCGGCCTGACGTGACGACGAGAGTTCTCCGTTTCCCGGCGCGCGGAAGGCGGTGAACGGGCCTTTCCATGGGGGTAGGTGACGGGTTCCGGTGAGCTGTTTTTCCATGGTGGTCGTACAAGGTGCGCTGTTCGAAGCAGACACTCAAGGACACTCAGAGTGTCCTTGATGAGTCTCCTTGAGAGACTGGTCTGCGGATGTCTGCGGTTTTCTCGTGAGCGTCATGAAGCGTTGATAGAAAGAGGAAGGCCTAAGACTCCAAGAAAACAAATATTAGGGTCAAGAAGAAGAAGAAGAAAACAACATGTTGTTAACACATGGAGGAAGAAGCAAGAAGGGTTAATAAGAAGAGTGAAGCTGGGAAGGCATGGCAACAAAGATGTGCCAACTGCAAAGACAATAGAAAAAAACACCTACCCCAAGGAGATCCCAGATCAAGGTGAGATTTAATCTACTGATGCGCGAAGCGGGGGGATGATGCAGACCTGGCGATGGACTCCGATTCATTCCGATTCAAGTCCAGAACACCACTGTGGCGGCGAATCGATTCGGCGAGGGTAGATTATGGTAGATTTGGCTTTAAAGGGGCTGGGTTTTAGCACCGTTGGGCTAGTAAAACCCTTGGGCGCCCTATTGTCACAACAGGTTCTAGGGACGCCCTAGCCAGGCTAAGCCTAGCTCACAATGCACACACCGCAGAAAAGACGAAGGAGGCACAAAGAACCCTTCAAGTTCGGATGGCGCCCCAACGAGCTCTCCCAAGCTGCACAGAACTCTTTGGCTTGGTCGGTTTACCCTTGAACTACGCGATCCCCGACCTCCGCTTGGATCTGCGCATCCCCCCCCCCGCCCCTCTGCGCCCCATCAGACGCGTCGGAACGTGTGCGAACACCAGCGGCGGAGCGATGCACTCGGTCGAAGCGCTCCGGTGACTGGTGACGTGGATGGCATCCGAACTCAGGGGCCATGCAATCCATGACCGGATGACCCCATCCACCATGATGATGATCTCATGTTACATGGTTACATGGGATGATTGTCTAACATGGGGTCATCCGCAATCCGATTCATGCGGCCATGATGATTCCAGGGAGTCTACACCCCAGGTTTGTTTGACAAGGCCCAGCATAGAGTCTGTTTAGCAATTCTAGAGGGACTTTTTAGGCTAGCGGCGAACGGAACGACGGGTTTCCGATCATGTCACAAGTTCGGCCGGAACTGAAACTTCTGGATCCTTGGGCCGCCCTTGGCCCATGGCCGCCCTTGCTGGGAGCAGGTGTTGAACGAAGACGCACTGGTGAGGATTTGCCGCTTTCTGCCTGCGGGGCCCTTGCTGGAGAGAGAGGGTGGATGAGGGTGGATGTGGAGAATCTCGTTGAACAATCTTGAAACCATGTGGGGTTGACACGGATGTTCATCCTGAAAGTAAGATGTATGTAATCGATTTCTTATATAGTTGTGCCAGAATATGCCAGCTGCACATGCACGAGTGTATACTATAGTCTATATGCATAATTATGTCATCATATCGTTAGCTGCAGAAAATTTGACAGAGAGTCAATGGCAGCGGGAACGGACGAGGATTTGTAGATGATGGCGATATGCGTGATCAGATGAATATGGGATAATATGGGGTCATATGTATTTATCAAGTATCAGATGATGATGAGGAGGAGAAGGAGGAGGAGGAGGAGGGAGAGGATGATGGATGATGCACGATGGTCCTTTTATGTCCTTTTCACTGGGTCGTTCTGAGCCCTCCAAAAATAGATTCACACCGCTTCGCGGTCGAAGCCGCCCGCACAGAATAAAGGGAAAACAGACACACACATACAGACATAGACATCCATCCATGCATACAGACATACAGACATGCAAACATACATCCAGACATACATGTGAACAGTGAACAGTGTGTCATTAGCACCCTACCGGCTCGGATCGGCAGCGGACACCTGCGCTTCGGTCTATGCCGGGAACGAGCAACTTGTGCTCTAGGAGCCGGGAGGAAATGTTAACCGGGCTCATGCGTGAAGAAGCCCTATCTAATCACCAGCCCCTTCACTGAGGTTTCTGTCTCGGTCTGTCAGTCTGCTTGCTTGGGTCGAGCAGGACACACGGACGATGTCAATGATTGTCTCGGTCTGTCTGTCTTGGTGTGTCTGTCTCGGTCTGTCTATCTTTGTCAGTCTGTGTTTCGGCAGGACACGCGGATGAACGCATCCACAATGTTAGTGAATGCAGTGTCCTCCGGGTTACACATACGTCCGCGATGTCGATAATGCGGTCTCACCCCGCCTGCGCAGCCGGCATCGCCAACGTGCGGTCCATAGCCATATCCACTTTTAGCACGGCTCACCCGCCAGGAGCTGGGCACCACATGTGCCGACTTCCATCACCGAGCTCGGCACTCCAAAGAGCTTTGGAAGGCGCCGTTAGCAGCGCAACCAGTGGAGCACCGCGCCGTTCGGTAGAGCACCCGGCGTTTTTTTCGCAAAGGCGTGTTTTTCCGGGTGTAACACGTAGTGAAGCAAGAGTGTCCAACAACGTTTGGGCGTTTGGGGTTGGACCTGTGTGCATTGCGGGTTGCTGTCTATAAGGTTTTTTCCGTCTTATGCTGTTTGTGGTGGCCTTGGAGTCCCAGGTGTGGCGCTTGGCCACACCTTTGGACGGGGAGGGTCCTGACGCTGGTGGAAGG